CCGGGAACCGGGAGCCAAAGATGTTTACTCAGTCTGGGTCACGCTCCTCCACACGGAACACCAAAATTTGTTGGTGTTTCCGTGTTCCGTCGGCGGTGAAAGCCCCAAATATGAAGGTCAAGACTCATTGGACTCTCCAACACTCCAGCCGGGTATGGGGCAAGGCTCTGTTAGCCGAAGCCGAAGAGTGCCCCTGCGTAGTTTCGACCTCGCTGACCATGTTTTTGCCATTTCTTTCACGGTATTCGGGCGGACCCACTTGTACCATGTGGGTTCACCCAAAGGGCCCTGAAGAGACCCGACAGAAAGGTCTTCTCGCGGCCCAAGTTGCCGCTGGAGGGGCGCCTCGTGCGCCTCCGCGAGGAATATCGAGCTTCATATCTTCGTCGTTGGGTACGACCACCCGTGATGGTTCATTGGGGCTCCCACCCGGTAATAAGTGGAGGCCATCCTTCTACTCATATCGGTGAAGCCGTGAGCGCTGTCGCGACGAGAGCCAGTCAGACTTCGCGCTCGTTCCTGCCGTGAGGAGCTTGGCGATAGGCGCAATAGCCTCATCGTCCCGATACCCCATGCGTATCCGATCATATAGATCCGCTGTCACCCGTGTTATGTGGGCCAACTCGTAGTCTGGACGCCGAGAGAAAGAGTCCGCAAGCACGTTAAGCTTGCCCGGCTTGTACTCGACGCGGAGGTTGTACTCCGCGAAGAAGGACAGCCACCTCGCCATCCTTTAAAGAGGTGAGGCGAATTTGTCGCCGTCCTCAGGAATGCATGGTCTGTGTAGATCACGAAGGTCCGGGAGCCCAAAAGGTGAACACGAAGCTTCACAAGGGCATATTTCATTGCCAGGAGCTCCTTGTCGTGGACAGGGTAGTTCCGTTAGGCGGCTTTGAGCTGCCTGGACTGGATCGAGATGACTCGTTCATGTCCAGCCGTGTCGTTCTGCAGCAATTCACACCCGATGACGTAATCGGAGGCATCGCAGACGATGCTAAACGGCTTCGTCTCGTCCAGCAGGGCCAGGACAGGGGCCTCTTGGAGACTAGCCTTGATGCTGTCAAAGGCATCATGGTGCTCTTGCTCCCAGTGCCAGTCGACGTCCTTCTTAAGGAGGCCCGACAAGGGCTTAGCGAAGCCCGCGTACTCTGCGATGTACTTGTGAAGGGAGTTGGCCAAGCCCAACCACTTTCGAAGATCCTTCTGGGATCGGGGCGTTGGCCATGCTGCAATGACATTGACCTTGTCTGGGCCAGCCCGAACGCCCACGTTGCTTACGAAGCGAACGAGAACTGTAAGCTCTAGTGACGCGAAACGCACTTGTCGATGTTAGCGTAGAACTTATTTGCTCGAACTACGTCCAGAACTCGACGGAGGTGTCCTAGATGCACCTCCATGGCCGTCTTGCCTCCCTCGGTACGGCTATGGACGAATATGTCGTCGAAGTACGTCTGTACGAAGGTTCGCAAAGGGCGGAACAATTGCGTCACCAGGCGATTGAACGTCGCCGGGGCGTTAGACAAGCCCTGCGGCATGTCGAGCCACTCCCAAAGCATGCCGCTTGGAGTGCTCACCGCGGTGAGCGGGATGTCGCTCTCTCGCATCAGGATCTGGTAGTATCCGTCTACCAAATCCAGCGCACTGTACAGTACGCTCCCGGCCATGTTGTTCAACAACACATCCTTTCGTGGTTTGG